TTGGGTTGATTTGTAAAGCACTCAAAACTGAAGCAAAAATCTGAACAAAGAGCTCAAAAAAGTACTCAGATCCGATGTAGGATCGTTGATCTTTCATCCTCTCGAGCAAACGGTCGTGTAAGAGTGTATTTACACTAATGAAGCGCACATTGCATTCAAATTTTAATTTCATCCACATCGGAAAAGTTCGCGTAGGCATGAACGGGGAGGAGGCATGATTTAACGGCCAGGCTTAGGGCGGTGAACTGCATTCAAAAATCACGAACTTGTTTAGGACGCGTCTCCGTGCATTGAGCCCGGCTCTAAATTTAACAAGATCGTTAGAAAGGCACGCTCGTTATTTCGAGCGAGACTCAGAATTGTTCAGCACTACGTTCGCAGGTCGTGGTGGCTGAAACTCGCGCTGTTCCATTTGAACCGGTTAGTTTGAAAACGACTCAACTCGTTTCGGTTCGGACGAAAATTGTGTAGGAGGAAAGAAATGAAAAATACTCGGGAAAACCAGGGATTTTTTACAGAAACCACACAATGTTGTTCATGCAACGTTTCTTGCTGCGATATTCCGTTTCCAAAGACCTTGGTTGGCGGTGGTGGCGCAGTACAGGCTTTATCCAAATTTTGTGGTAAGGAGCGAATTTATATGAAAAATACTCGGGAAAATCAGGGACTTTTTACAGAAACCACACAATGTTGTTAATGCAACATTTCTTGCTGCGATATTCCGTTTCCAAAAACCTTGGTTGGTGGCGCAGCACAAGCTTTATCCAAATTTTGCGAGAAGGAGCGAATTTTAGAAATTGTCATGCTATTGGATTATTTAAGGAATTTTCATTGTTGAATTAATTGGATTTTACTGCTTAAACGTTGGTCGGCTGTATCGGTTGTGTACACTCAGTAAGAAAAAGTAACCAAAAGTAAGTGTTAATATGCGAAGTAAAACTCGAAGTAACACAAGCTGTTGGTTAATTTTTTTTGGTGATAGTTTTCTCAGTGTCAAATCGACCAAATCTGTGTATTGAAGCGGCCGAATTTTTGTATTGAAAATCTGTGATCTCGTTGAGAATAGGCGCTAGCCAACAGGATCAAACCTGGATCGCATCGGTGACAATCCGATGCATCAGTCACTCGCAAGTCACAACTTCTGAGTAACAGGGAGGAAAGCAAAAATTCAAAAGTTAAATATTTTTCTCGATTGTTAATAAACATAATTCTAGTTAATATGAAAATAAAAATTGATGAGCTTATCATTAAGTACATTAGTTCCGCGAGACACTTTTTTCATGCGCTGATGTCCCACAGTAACTTACGGTTTAGATCAATTTAACACTAAATTGTGTGGCGCAACGAAATTCTGTGAGTTGATGTCACGCAAAAAAAAAGTTCCACGAAGTAACCCAGAGTAACACTAAACAAGGCGATTTTTAAGCGTGCAGCAGACTCATCTCATGGTAGAAAATATTCAAAGGAAATTTCTTCTCATGTGTCTGAAAGTTGATCCTGCGTCGTTTTCTCTATACATCAGACTATCTGACTATCAGAAACAATCCGATGTGTACGATTATCTCACAAGAAATGAAAATAAGGTATGTGTATTGAGAAGTGAGAATACATTTTCTCGAAAATCCTTTTTAAGTACAGGTATTAAACTTTTTAACAAAGTGAGGGATCGCGAATCACGTGATTCGATCGGCCGAACGGTCGTTTTTGCGCCCTTAGGAGCCTCAAGAATTACGAAGTGCACATCATCCACACAAAAACTCGCTTTAAAGTCACAAGTGAAGGATCGCGATTCGCGCGATTCGATCGGCCGAACGGTCGTTTTTGCGCCCTTAGGAGCCTCAAGAATTACGAAGTGCACATCATCCACACAAAAACTCGCTTTAAAGTCACAAGTGAAGGATCGCGATTCACGCGATTCGATCGGCCGAACGGTCGTTTTTGCGCCCTAAGGAGCCTCAAGAATTACGCAGTGCACATCATCCACACAAAAACTCGCTTTAAAGTCACAAGTGAAGGATCGCGATTCGCGCGATTCGATCGGCCGAACGGTCGCTTTTGCGCCCTTAGGAGCCTCAAGAATTACGAAGTGCACATCATCCACACAAAAACTCGCTTTAAAGTCACAAGTGAAGGATCGCGATTCGCGCGATTCGATCGGCCGATCGGTCGTTTTTGCGCCCTTAGGAGCCTCAAGAATTACGAAGTGCACATCATCCACACAAAAACTCGCTTAAAAGTCACAAGTGAAGGATCGCGATTCCCGTGATTCGATCGGCCGAACGGTCGTTTGAGCGCCCTTGGGAGCCTCCAGAATTACGAAGTGCACATCATCCACACAGAAACTCGCCTAAAAGTCACAAGAATTATCTTATGAAATTATAAAATGTACAACAATTAGCAGTTTCAAGCACCACCTATTTGAATTCCTTGTATGTACTCAAATGTATCGACGATACTTAAGTCAGTAGTTTCTATAATTTTTTATCTCGTGTTTTTTTCCCCAATTTTATGTTTCTGTGCCTATCTATAGTTTTAATCTGAAACCATTGTAATCGTATCTCAACACTCTATTTGTTTTATTCGATACAATTAATATCTTGAATCTTGACATTTTCTCTGTAGTCTGATTTTTTTTTTTTTTTTTTTTTTTTTTTTTTTTATCTTCTAGGTATCTCTCGGTTATCTTCTAGAGGTTCTTTTGTTTCAACCGTGAGAAAAGGAGCCAATCTTGATTCAAGGATGCGTCGGCCGTCGAGTGACACTCTCATCAACTAATTCGTTCTTACGTGACGTAATTTCCGACTTAATCCGCCTCCATCTCTCACCGCTTGAGATTATTACGTGATTCAAGAACTTCCCGAAGGCTTCGAGTTTTATTTTCTCGTATTCTTTTTTATTTGGAAGCATCCTAAGTTCGGAACGTGGCGTCAAAGACGTGCTTAATGAGCACGTGCGGCGATGCTGCAAAAATGTGAACGTAAATTCGTAATTTCTACATTTCTCAAGAAAGTACAGCAGGACTTTGTCGACCCAAATGTGTAACAACGTTCTAGGACGAATATCAATTGGACGTATTAATGCTAAATGGAACTATGTGGAAGTGAAAAGATGGGGTGTGCTCGTTAGTGGTCGGGCCATAAGAATGAATGGGAAATATAAAGCGCCAGTGATATCAGCGGTAAGGACGAGAGAAACGACGATCGGGAAGGTGGTTTTTAACTCATGAGCCCTGTCCACAATGCTCTTGTCACATGCCCACGGCTCACGAGTTAGCGGTCAGTTCCTTTTGATTTAATCGAAAACCCCGCTTTTCCATTTTTCCAAAAGGATCTATATCCACTTTTACGTTGTTTCTTATCCAGCTTCCACGAGCACACCCCATCTTTCCACTTCCATATAGTTCCTTTTAGCATAAATACGTCCAGGAAGGTAATATTCATTTGTTTTCTGCATGAACGTAGAAATCTGAATATCATTTGCTAATCTTTGATCTGCTGTCGCTAAACTTCTACTTGGGCAGAATCATATGTATGAATGCATTATTGAGCTACATATTCTATTAGATTTTGATCAAGTCAGATCGGTAACCGCCCCAAAAACCAGCCTGTAATTTATTCACTAATTATTTTTTTAATGTTCTTCAATGTTTTCAATTTCATGATAATCGATAGTAAGTAAGATAACATGCGAATGACATAGCAAGTTTTGGTATTACAAGTGGTGTGAACATCGAAGGCGCTAAGACCCTCTTCAAGACAACCTCAGGATGCAACTATTAGTGTTCTACGGATGTCCGTATCGCATACACACTAAATTGCAGGCGTTCTAATTTCGGAACTTCGCTCTTAACTTCAGGACAACGTCTGGATGCAACTATTCGTGTTCAAGGGATGTTCGTATTGCATATACACTGACTTGCAGGCGTTCTAACTTCGTAACTTCAGGACAATGTCTGGATGCAACTATTCTTGTTCGAGGGATGTCCTTATTGCATACACACTAGCTTGCAGGCGTTTTGGCTTTCTAAGTCACAACGCAATGTCTGGTCCCAATTACTCATGATAAGGCAATGTCTGCGTGGCAAGTGCAAACATTAACAAAACAAACCCTGGATGTCGTGTAAATTTTCAGGGGAGCATCGCTGTAACGCAGCGTCACTGAATCGTCACCTTTCGGCCAAAGTATATGACAAGCGCCGTGCGACATTTCAAAATTTCGCCGCCATTTTATTTTTTTACAGAAAAATCGTGGGTTGAGTCTGTTCCAAAATTTCACTAAATTTTATCGGCAGCACAAAGAAAATTTAGAGGACTTTTCGGACATCTTCGTTGAGAAATTTCTCCATAAAAAAAATACAGCAGCGGAAATTTTGAAATGTCACATGGCGCTTGTGATACTTTGGCCGGGAGGTGAGGAAATAGCGCAATTTTATTGAAACGTTACAAAAACGTTCTGATCGATGACATTGCGTGAAGAAATGGACGTATTTCTATCAAACAGATTTGTGTGAAGGTGAGAAATATGGGGTGTGCTCGTCAGTTCTCTTGCCGTAAGAGTGAATGAGAATAATAAAGCGCCAGTGACGTCAACGGAGAAGGATGCCGTCGTCGAGGCTCCGCGTCGTCTGCATTAACTCATGAGCCCTGTTCACAACGCTCTCGTGCCATGCCCGCGGCTCATATATCCCGCATTCAGGTGGTACAAGTTCTCTTTGCTGAATTTAAAATCCCGCTTTTCCAATTCTTCAAGAGGAATCACGCCCACTTTTACATTGTTTCTTATCCAGCTTTCTAGAGCACAGCCCCATATTTCTCACCTGCACATAGTTCTGTTTGATATAAATACGTTCAAATAGACGTATTTCTATCAAACGGAACTATGCGCATTACGACGTGAGCCCTGTTAAGCACGTATTCTTTTGGGTCTCAGGGCTCATGTCTTAATGCACATAGTTCCGTTTGATAGAAACACGTACAAATGTATTTAATGAACTTTCTAACCTTGTTTTTAGGTGAGAGGTGGTTGATGCGGCACTGGAGAAGAACAGAAGCACCGAGCTGTGTAGTGAGGTTTGTGAAACCGACCGGGTCCTCGAAATAGGGTGGAACTTCGTGCGGGTCCATCGCTGATGGGACGCCTTTTGTCGTCGATTCCTTCTCAAGCTGGTTCATGTTCACGCCCGAGTTTCCGTAGACATCGATATCTGAAACAAAAAAGTCATGTTTCTAAGTACCATCGTCAAAGAGTTAACCATAGATTGGAAATTAAAAGCGTCACGGTATATGTGTCCTCATCAAACTTTCATTCAGATTGCGTCAAACAGATTCAAAAGCCAACGGTCAACTCTTGAAAGAGAGAAGAACGTTTCATTCGAGTCAGTGAATTTAATTATTCAAAATCACGACGATTTAAGTGGTGCATTGGTCTTTGCGTGGTTTGAAAAAAAAAATACGTTAACTACTACTGCGAAATTGTCTACGCAATTTTTTAAAAGGGAGTTGTTCACGCGGCTAAGCGCAGTGAATTATACATCGTGCGCCACACTGTTAACTGGTGACTGCCTCGCAAAAAAAAATGTTGTGAGAAACATTTGAGCATTGCCTAATTTCTTCAGGCTGCGGGGGACGACATTTCTGGATCACTTTTGAGGTTTCCTCTTCGGATTGTTGAGAGAACTCTCTGCACAATTTAATGTATCAATTTCGAAAATTTAAAATAATAAGTGCGCATAACTTTCCCCAAAAACAATCGAATAGCATCAGAAAAAACAGCAACGTCTCTACATATATATTCGCACGGCATTCCTTCTTAATGTGATTCGTCAAGCTCAAAAGAAGTGGTCGAACTGGCATGCGATATATCGCATCTGTTGGGTAAAAAATATCGGCAGATTTTGAATTTTCAGCAAAAACAAGGACGATAGCCCCTGCGCATGAGCCTAAAGAATCATTCTAAGCCCAAAAATCGGCAAAATTCAAAGAAATGAAAGCAGGATAGTGTTTAGAAAAAAACCTCGCATTCGATACAGAAATCGATAGCTGAATCGAATGCGTGGTTTTTTTCTAAACACTATCCTGCTTTCATTTCTCTGAATTTTGCCGATTTTTGGGCTTAGAATGATTCTTTAGGCTCATGCGCAGGGGCTATCGTCCTTGTTTTTGCTGAAAATTCAAAATCTGCCGATATTTTTTACCCAATAGATGCGATATATCGCATGCCACCTCGACCACGTCACTTGAGCTTGACGAATCACCTTAACACATCTGTAGGTATAGACGCGCTGCCGAACGTATTGTTCTACGGATTATGCTACTTTCTCCAGGCGCTCTCGGGAAGAAAAAAACATAATTCAAGCAACGAGAACTGTTCCAGCCTCTCGACTCGGCTGTGAGGGCCGAACTCTTTACGGAGACATACTGTAGAGTAATTTAGAGCGGAGGGAACTGCGACATTTATCGTAAATTCGGTTCACCAAAAATCCAGCCGACGGAAGATATATTCCCGCCCAAAACCGAGCACCGTCCGCGACGCGGCGCCAGGGGAGGTGAGGGGAGAGTTGGCGCAGTCTCGTGGTCTCAGATGCGCAATAAATGGAATTGGTTCCGAGGGCGAAACCAGCATGAAAACAAAATCTGAGTCAAATTTAATTTTTTCAACCGAGGATGCCAAGTGGATAGCACAGCGAGAAGGAACTAACTCTCTTGAGGAATAAGATTTTACATCGTAGTCTATGACAATAATGAAACGAAGTATTGTAAAGAGAAAGGTAGAAACATGCACAGTTCCGAAACTACGTTGTTTCTTAATCTGTTGGTGTATTTTTCCCTTTCTTTTCTTTTTTTATACAATCGGAAATAATTACACAAAATTAAGAAATAATCTTCTTATTTCTAATCTTAAAGCTACTTTACATTTAATCGATTTGTTTTCTTATAGAAGCCGGGTGGTGAACACTACTTCAATTGTTGTAATTTTTTCTTCTTTTTTTCATTATTAAACCTGATTTTTCAAAAAAGTGGAGGCACGCTCGTTTTAAATTTTGCCAAAGCACAACCTGCTTTGTATTTTTTAAAAGAACATTTTAAGTATCAATACTTCAATTCGAATGATTGTAAGATTAACAGAGCTTAGAAAATGTCAAAGGTGAAACTATATTCAACATCATGGATGTGTACGGTATAGTGCGCAATTCAACAATTCGAGTTGCTTAAAAATAGTTGCTTCAGGCGCCGTCGCACGGCGGGCGTGCTGCCAGCGCGAGAGGCTCACTAGCGCCTACAAACCTAAGTGGATACTTCAAGCATTGTGCAATGCGAGAAGTATCCACTTAGGTTTGTAGGCGCCAGTGAGCCTCTCGCGCTGGCAGCACGCCGCTCCGCTCTGTTAGGCTTTAATATTTAGCGTTTTTTAACTCATAACATTTTAAGTATCAATACTTCAATTCGAATTATTGTAAGATTAACAAAGCTTAGAAAATGTCAAAGGTGAAACTATATACAACATCATGGATGTGTACGGTATAGTGCGCAATTCAACTACTCGAGTTCTTTTTAGTCCGGTTCTCGCTATGGTTAGGAAAGAAAGTCATCCGAGACGCAGGTTATAGGACATTTTGTCAACGATTTTTTGTCCGCATACCTGTTTTTTTCCTGTAATTTACGTCCACGCGTTTTTTCGGCACGGGAGTTTTGGTCCACGTACCAATTGAGACCCAAAGTTAATTGGCCCACATGCAAATACAAACGACAATTGCTCGCGACGTTTTTGGATGAAAATATATAATGTCTTGGAAGAATGAGGGTTGGCTTGTTTTTTTGTTTTGTCTGTTTGGTCCAACGGAGAATAATATATAGTTGAGAGTTTTGGTAAAGATGGGGGATCGTCAATTCCATGAGAAAAAATTCACTAAAACTCTCCACACCTCTTTGGTGTAACAGGACTTAATTATCTTTCAAGAAATTCCCACCTTGTTATACCTGAACCGGATAAACCTCTATATTTGCCTCAGCTAAAGGCTCTTAGATTTTTCCAGTGTACGATAAGTATCTTGATTTATTTTGCGAGGAAAGATCTGTACTTTTAAAGGATGCCTGTCATTCTTAATACGTTCAATTTTGTACAATACTGTGCAACACCTCTGTTGTGAAATAGTTGCTTCAGGCGCCGCCGCCGCACGGCGGGCGGGCGGCCAGCGCGGCACGCGCATTGGCGCCTACAAACCTAAGTGGATACTTCAAGCATTGTGCAATGCGTGAAGTATCCACTTAGGTTTGTAGGCGTCAGTGAGCCTCTCGCGCTGGCAGCACGCCGCTCCGCTCTATTAGGCTTTAATATTTAGCGTTTTTAACTCATGATTTTGAAATGTTAGCACACGCTGCATTGATTATTCTCATTTAAGTTGATGGTAAAAAAAATATTTATCAATTTATCAAAGGAGAATAATAATATAATATGTATGTTTTTTAAATACTGGTGGTTCCGTGTCAAATTTAATGATTTCCAAAGCACTTTAATTTTTTCTTTTACATTTTGTGCTTTTATTGTGCTGCAGCGAGGTGTACGCGCAACGGAACGCTCAAAATTTCGCGGAGAAAAAATCGTTGACAAAATGTCCTAAAACCGCGACGCATCGAAGCAATCGCCTGCTGCCAAGCTAAGGAAGAGCGCCGTAAGAGCCTTCAGACGTTCCCGAATCTTCTTCAACAAATCAAGAATTGTCGAAAAAATTCTTAAATATTTTTCTTCGATCTTTTAGAGTATTTAGTCGATGATTCGGTCTTAAGTGTCCATTACGTTCGTTTCGTTCGTTACGTTAAAATATCCATTACGTTCTTGAAAAATAAATATTTTCTAAGAGGCAATTTGCAACAGTCGAATGCTCATACAGCATTTTTGTATCGATAAAATCAATATTGGAAGCAATTTACAGGAAAATATGCCCCAGCCGGAAATATCCTAAGTTTCACACACCATGAGGATTGATGAAAAACAACCGAACATTTCCATCCAAAGATTTCTTTCAGACTATAGAAACTGAGTCTGGCTGGGAACCTAGAACGTTCTAAAATCGAGCTATGTGTTTCTAAGATTTGTCATCGATTTTTATAATTGTAACATCGATGTTGAAAGTCCAAAAATATGTATCCTGATTTGCAACTTTGCAGAGCTGTCGTCATCTTTTCTTTATTTAAGAGGAAACGAGGAAACCAATGAACAATACGTTTCAAGAGTTAAAACCCATTTATCCTGTTCGGGAATATTTTGCAACTTAGGGATAGAGGTACAATAGATTTTATATTTACACCCAAGCCCTCAACACGCGAACTGCTCTGCTAAAGAAGAACGCAGTATGAGCCTTCAGATGTTGCCAAATTTCATTCGACAAATCACGGATTTCCAGGGAAATTTGCGAATATTTTTCTTTTGATTTTTCAGGGAATTTTGTTCGTAGTTTGATCTGAAGTTTCCGAAAATTATATGGAGAAATATACATACATACATACATAAAGTCGCTTTTATAGCGCCGCCTCGCGCTCCATTTGAATGTTTACACGGCGTTTTTCCTAAGCACGGCAGCGTAGCACTCCTTCACTTTCCGAAAACAAACCGATCCGCCGCGAACACTCCGATAATCCCTGATACAGTGGCGTGGCGTGCTTTGCGATACATCGATTGGTATGCCGTTTAAACCTATGGAAAAGGATCGATAAACAGGGTGTTCGCAGTGAACACCTTGATAATCGATTCTTCACCATAGGTTTAAACGGCATAACAATCGATACATCGCAATTCACGCCACGCCACCGCCCCGATAGTGAAAGGAGAAAAGGGAGAGCCGCGGCATTAATTTAAATGTCACGAGAGTCCGGTTTACAATAGGAAAAACTTTCCGGGCTCAATGGCCTGGGCATCGGGACAGAAAGTTTCAACCCTGACCGCTAACGACTCGGCGCCCGAAACCACTTATATCCCATATAAACCCGCACGCAAACACGAGGTTTCTGTTCGTGCGAGTGTGCCAACCCTGACCGCGACGCTCTGCATCACACTGAAATCTAAAACCACGTATGTCTCGTAAATAACCGTACGCAGGCGCGCGGTTTCTGCACAGGCAAGCCGCAATACTGAGAGAATCGGAACCTGTCGACGAAGTTGGCGCCTGGGGCACCTTCAAAAGCGTCGCGAGTAAAAAGAACACTTCGC